TCTAGTACTGATTTATGTATCGATATTATAATAAAAATAATTGGATGTCCAATTTTATTCGAATCAGCAGTAACGTATCTCGAGAAAATTAACACTTCAGATTAATGATAAAATATAGCTTTGGATTAAGAGTAATTTAATTTTTACGTACAGTACAGTGTGGAAATATTCAAAATTTATATTTTAACATGTGCCTGTTGACGTATTTATATCACTAACTTGATATATATCATCCTAAAATATACAATGTACTGTACAGTACATATATCATTCTAAAATATATATTAGTGTAGATTGCATTTTAAATATAAAATATTTATTTTTCTATATTTATGAATACATTTTAATAACTTAAAGCTATATATGTAGCTTTTTCTTCTTCGCACGTCTCTGATATTCCATCTTGTTTAGTGTCATGGCCTTTAAATAGAGGCTTAGATGTGCAATCGTCATGTAAATATTTATTTAGATGCTTAATCTTTACCGAAAGATTTATGATCCTTATTTATAAATATAAAATCCATGTAAATAAGTGTAATCCTTTATTATAAATTTTGAAATTTCCACATAGATAAGCTTACCCTTTAGATACAGTTACGAAGTTTTCTTTTATTTATGAATTAATTTTACAATTATAATTTTTTTTAAATATACACAAATTCGTTTATATATAAATAAAAAAAAGTTTAAATTTAAATTTATAAATATTTAAAACTGATGTTTAAATTTTCGAGTATAAAACGAATAAAATGCAAATTAATAATTTAGATTACAAACATTAAATTTATTATAAAATTAAATTTAAATATTTATAATTTTAATTCCTTTCTGTAAGTTTATTAATTTATTTATTTTCGTGAGTATACGATAAGATGTTCTTAATAAAAATTTATTGTGCTATATTTTTAAATTGAAAATTTCCAAGAAGCTAAAGTGTCTATGCATTAAAATCCCTATTATATCTTTGGTGATCCGGTAGAAAGGTAAAATACTACTGGATCGAAATTTATTGTGTAATTTCCTAGAAGCTTACTCTGAGTCTATCTCCGTAATCTAACCCATTAATATTTGAGACATTTTCCGATTCAGTTGGATTATCAGAAGGTATAAAATATATTTAAAAAATCAAAAATAATCATCATAATAAAAAGGAAAAACTATAACCGATAATACTTAAAGAAGAATTATATCAGTAAACGTTGAAATTATTGAATTCAATTTATGAGGTATTATCGAGATTTTTATGTTTTCTCTTGTAGATATTGTTATAAGATACATTGTATTTCCGCTCAATAAATAACGATTTTGTTATTTTCAGGAAACACAAAAAATAAAAATAATAACAATTTTAACATTTTTCATTCGTTTAGATAATATCGACATTTGTGAACATTTTTAAACGATAATAATTTGTATGCTACAAAAGGGAAAAAAACTAATAAAATATAGCAAATAAACTCTTATGACAAATCACATCCAATTCACGTTGTCTGATGTGAAAAGTACTTGATCGTTAGAAACGTGCAAAATCGAGAATTTAAAGATTTCGAAATGACATTTTTTTATATTTACGTGATTCGAACAATATTTTATCATTGTTATATTTTAAATTTAACAAAAATCATAAAAAATATATATATATAAGTTATATATTTGAATCGACAAATTTTATCTTCAAAAAGGATTTTTTTATCTTCCTTTTTTACATTATCAAAATTTGCATTCACTACATTACAATTCAATTCAAATTAAGATCGACGTTGCAATTAGTTTTATTTTTGTCACCCTTTAACAATTCATTGTTACATCAATTCAACTCAGGAAACTTTTTTACTCGTCTTACTAATTATGTTTGAATTTTTAAAAAACTATAATGTAATTCTGTGATTTTTAGCATTAATTTAAAGCGTTTTCTTAACTTTTAATGGATAATACATTCAATAATATATTATCTAAAAGTTAGAAATATTTAATAATCGATTAAAAACATTTCTAAAGTTGTAATTTAGTAATTTTCCACGAATTAGATGCAATTTACATTCAATACATAGAAAATTAAATAAGTTTTTTAGTATCAAGATTAATTATTAAATTGTAAAATTATTTTCGTAATTTATTCTCGATTTTTAAAGTAATTATTATATTTTTTGATATTTCTATTTATAATTTATTAATTTCTATAGGCCTGTACTTAATAAGCCGTATACGTATATGTATATTTGATTTACTATGTAAGTGTTTGTTACTAAATTATTTATACTGTTGTGACTGCATATATGGGATTTAATAACATGTATATACTAAATATACAAGTTATTATTATAATATATTATTATAAAATATATTATTTTATACAACATTAAACTGTAAATATAACAGAACTTTAATAAATGCCCGTTATATTGCGATTAGCTAAATATACGTAATGTTTATCAATAAATTTTGATTGACGGTAAGATGTCTGGAGGTTAAATGGCAGAAAATTTTATTAAAGTAACCGATAATGGAATAAGTTAGTTATCTAGAATTTCTTAACAAATATTTATCATGTGAATTATGAAAGCAAATGAAGAGAAAAAGTATTTGTCTGGTTGCATGTATGGATTCAGTTAAAAATAACTCTAGCGATAGCTGTTCGACTTTGAATTAAACCTAAAGGCCTGATAGTATTCTACATAAAATAATTTTAATTAAAACTTATACGCCATGAGTGATTCAAAATTTCTAGTCTCTTAAGCTTGTAATTGGTAAATAAGAATTTGCATTCCATAAATTAATATGTAGAAGAGCATTCTTGTGGAGAACCATAAAATAATTTATTACTGTTAGTAGCAAACCACTGATTAGTAGTTCCTATCGACTCAAGTTACCATCATTCTTCTTGACATCAATAACGATTGAAAATTGATGCGAGAATTGGCAAGATAATATATTTCATATTAATTATAAATGATTCATTTTTAAATTGAATAAATTTTTATTATTAGAAAAAATTCTTTATATAAATCAATGTAAGCGATATTTAATAGATGCTTAGAATATACATCTTTATAAGAAAATTTATCTCTATTAATAATGAACTTTCTCAGATTTACAGAATTTTAAAGCGATTTCTATTAATATAAATAATAATAATAAATAATTATTTATGAAGGTTCAAACTAGAAATAATTATACATAAAATTCTATTAGTAATAAATTCTCTAGATATAAAATTAAAGAAAAAAAACTAGGATGTATTTTATTACAAGTGGAAGCATTAATTATATTGGATAAAAAATGACATCAGGGAAAAGTATTTTTGCTGAATATCACTTTCATTGATAATAAATTGCGAAGAAAGTAATAAATGTCTATCCATAAAAATCGATTAAAATAAATTTTCGGGGTGTGAAATACTTAAAGTCATATCTGTCCAAGTTTTAACGTCAAGCTAGATTTGCAAACAGCCTGCTTAGTAAGTATAATTAATTCTGACAAGCTGTGAGAGGATTTGTTCTCACGCAAAGAATCTCTTTGCCTCATTCAACGGATATTTATTTTTTAATATACTATAAACTTTAATATGCTTATAATTTGACAGTTAAATTAAATTTATTTATAATTTTATTATGTAAAATATAAGATAGTTTTCCACTCTATCTCACTTAAAAAATTAGATATTAAAACTTAAAATATTTAAATATGAATAAACTCTTATTTGAATTTTATAATAAACGTTATATAAAATGTCTGTTTACTTTATTTATTACAAAAGATATCTTATTTTCAAAATTGTTTAATGTAGTTGGATACACTTATAAATATACAAACGAGTCAATAATGTTATACTCATCTTAAAATATTTCTTTTTTGAAACTTTCTGTAAACAACAGAAAAGTGGATACAACTTAATTTTATTTAAAATAAAACAAAATGTCGATTTTATGTTTTTCGTGGAATTACATAAACAAGAGATATTTATCGGTTGGGTTTTGTTTTCCTGATAAATTTTTCAATGCTTTTATTATGGTCATATAAGAAAAATCAACGTATGGCTTTTTGCCAACCAAATCGTTAAAATGCATATTTCATAACTTTATACGATGGTTACATAAATATTAAACTTGAATACAGTTCAAGTAACACAAATTAAAGCGGTTAAAATGTCTGTAAACTTAAATTTTACATTTGATAAATTTGTAGCAACTGCAATAAAGTTATATGTAGTTTAAAAAATAAATTTAAAAAAAATTAAAACTTTTAATATAAAAAATTATTTTAGAAAGTTATATAACATTACTGAAATTTAATGAGGAAATTTCCGCATATTCGCATTATTAAATTCTTGATACAGATGTAAGTCAATCGACAGAGTCAGCAAAACATAATTAGATAAATGCAATTGATTACGGAGTTATTCAATTTAATTAACTCGAAATTTATATTTTAAGTTATTGAAATGAAAAAGGTGGTCTTATCGTTGAAATTCCACAGATGCGTTTATTAATTATCGCTAAACATAAACTGAAGCGCGCTTACAAACTTCTACAATTACTTTAAGGTTTCTGCTTTAGATACATCTACTACGTTAGAAATATTTTTAAAATAATATATTTTAATCTTTATACGTTAATAAGAGTGGATTTGAATAAATCTTATTCGGTATTAATTATAGAGAATGGTGTATGAGTCATATTGTTCTGTTCTGCTGTCAGTTGTTTTGATGAATGATTTTACTGTCATCTCAAGCAAAGATTCTCTTCCAATGTTATATCATTTGTAGTGCAGTGAGAGCTTCCTCTTGGACTGCTGACAAACACACTCAATAATATTAGTGATAGATCAGAAGAGAATTTTTCCCTTTTCCTTTAAATATTCTCTGTGATAATCCTTTAATTAAAATTAAATGAGGGGATATTTTTTTCATACACTTATAAAAACAAGCACGTACTTTTATTTGTAGCTAAGTAATATAAAATTTATAGGTGTTTTTCATATCAATTTTTAATATTTTTTAGTCGTGAACCAACAATATATGGTAGAGGTTTATGACGAATATGCTATTGCCGGAACTACAGCAGTTCTGAGATGTCATATACCAGGGTTTGTGGAAAATTATGTTACAGTCACTTCGTGGATGGAGGAACCGACATCAAATGTTATCCAGCCGTCAAGTGCTCTTGGTAGGTGATAAAAATATAATTAATAGCTGTTTTTCTTATATATATATAACTAAGTTATATAATACATTTATCATAAAAGAGTTTACATATAATTATGTTGATTTGTGTAATCTTGCTTCGTTCAAATATTTCTATATATAAACCACATTTATTGATTTAAAAAATTATATTTGATTAAAATATTAAACTTTATATAAAAAAATCAATGTTACTTTTTATGATGTTATTCAAAAAATAGTAAAATTGTTCACTATAGAATTCATGCACAATGACAAAATAAATTATTTACGCTGATGATGATGATAATAATAAAGAAAACAACTTCTTCAGTAATTTACTAAGAAAAAAAATAATAAAGAAAAACTCTCATTGTTGGCGATTCTCAGCAATGAAAAAATTTTTAGCTTAAATAATAAAATTATCTTTAGAATTAAATCCTTTTTACAACAATAATATCAAGTAATAATTATACTTTTATCGATTTATAATTTCTTATTATACAAAATTACAAATCAATAAACAAATAAATCTATGCTGTTAGTTATATAAATTAATAAATTTTTAATTATCTGAAGATTAATAGCTAAATTAATATTTTTATTAGCTTTTTTTT